ACGTCATTTGCAGGCCCAATCATTTTTTTAATGGGAATGCATGCGAAGTATATTTATCATTTACAATTCTATTGTTATCACACATATTTACACTATTATGGTTCCATAGTTCATACAGTCATGTCGTGGATGCTTGAAGATAATGTGGCTTTTAATTTAATAATTAAAAATCCTTCTACTGGATGTCTCCAGTACAGATAAATTTGTTTCTACCTATCGTATTTTTTTCTTATTTAATAAATAACTACATCCAATGTACCTACATATTTAACGAAATTGTCTATAACAATCGCCTCCGCATAATGTTTGCTTAAATGTTTCTATAACCTTGGACTACTCGTGGTAAACAGAGCTCGTAAATACTATGTATTTCCTTTACTGCCATTTAACATCTAATAAATGTGGATATGCTAAAAAAACCACTGCCTACATGCGGTAGTCTAGAACGATTTATCTCAAAAGACAGTACGAAATTTATCTGTTTTCAAAAATTAAAAGCAGGTGGTGAACACACCAAAAAAATCAATAAGCTTTGACAAAATAAATGATCAATTCATAGGACGTTGCTTAAAAAGACAACAGAACATCTGTTTATTGTATAACTGTGTCTTTAAGAAAGCAACCAAATGAGTAATAACATTGCCAAGTAGTAGTTACTGATTTTCAGATTAAACTCAAAATATAATAGTCAATGAATCATAAGAATAAGACATAACTGCATCCTGCAGACAAATCTCTAAGTTTTCATCATCTCATTGACCATTAAAATATAAATAGTATTAATTTGCTAGTAATAGTTTAATTTAATTTTACTCAACCTAACCCACCCTGATCTGTCATTACCTAACAAAAAATTATTTGAATTAAGTCATACCAGAAGAATTAAATTACAAAATTATTTTTATAAAATTTCAACTTTATTGAAACGTTAGTATTCATTTACAATTTGTGGGCATTCAATCATGCTATAAGATATTAGAGGACATTAACAACAGTAGGGTGCTATCTATTTTATCATTGCCATTAAACTTTTATAGTATTTCGCGTGGATGTAATTGTGCCATAATACCTATCCATACGATAATATGAAAACACATCAGAAATAAAACTCACTTATCAATTTCCACATTTATTTATAAATATGTGGCACGTGTTTCACCACCGTGTGGGTGTGTGGCGTCTTCAGATTTAGTTTTGAATTCTATATAGAAAACTGACGAGTGAGTTTTATTTCTGATTTAATAATGAATTTCCGTGAAGAAATAGGTAAAATAATAATAAATAAGTACAAGTACTTATAAATGTATTAAAATCTCAGCCATTTAAATATTTCAACGTTTCTTTTCCGACTTAAACTTCACCTGTATTTAGAAGAAATGCATTTTAAAGGACTACATTACAAAAAACATCGACTTAGTTTTTTTCTCTCGAAAAGCGTGTAAAATTGCGATTTTGTCAACATCTGTATAAAATATACTTATAAAATAATTTTGCAACTTCTTTAGGTTACCACGTGTGGAATTCACGTGCGTACGACATCGCGAAATTCCTAAGTGAGCCTCATCCTCCAGAACACTCGCTCAGCAAAACTGTGTNATGCGGCACTTTATTGAAATGTGTGCCAACACGTTAACTTACACATTTTCCAGGAACATGATATAAATTGGGTTTCCACTATAAAGCCACTTGCCAAAAAATATTCATTGATTTTTGTAACTATTCCAAAACTCTCGTTTTATTTTTAGCCCTAAAACATAAAACCAGCGAAAAATATGAATGACTGTTTTGTTGTTTGCACTTGTTCTGATATCCGTATATCATATTTTGACTTTAATGCTTGTTTTTTATCTAACTCTTTCGTCGCCATTTGTGAAAAGTGCACTGACACGTTTCATAAAATATTTCAGAGTAAACGAAATTTTTTTTATGACGGACCAATAATATATATACAATCGATGTTCTGCTACTAATAATATAAATATTTCAGTCGATTCAAAACACTTTCTCTGTGACTTCCTTCGTATTTCACTAATTGTACGAATTAAAAAAATGAAAATTAAAGGAGAACACGTCGTCGTGAGTTTACAGATAGCGAGGTAGTAAAAGATAACTCAAGGTTTCATAAAGTTAATTGAACATAATTATCTAATAATTCAATGCGAAACTTAAAAACAATCAGTTGCTGCATCTTAAAAATAATAAGGCCATAAAAATCAAGGCCTTTCAACAACGACAAATTTTACGGCATTCTCTTAGAAAATGTTTAAAGTTTTCAAAAGAACCTCGTAATACATCTCTGGGTTTATTATAAATTATCTGTAATACGTAGTAATATTGCTTACATGTAGGTAATGCATTAATTAACAGGCGTTTCAGAATAAAATTAATTTTAAGATCATTGTCAATTTGTATTTGTTACTTTATTCTGCAATGTGGGAAGAATTTATCTGCTGTTCTGGAAGGACTTGGATAAATCGATATCCTTAATAGAAAAGTATCTTGTTGAACATTAAACAGATGGCGTTTACTTTTAATTAACCTATTATGTATTTATTAAAATTTTACATCTTAATTTTTCATGAAAATGCTAAACTTTAATTTATTCATTAACATGATCTCTTTTATTATTTTTCTTTTTCAATTAGAAAAGTAAATCGAAAATAACGAAAAACATACATTTTTTCAGTTGTCAGTTACATTAAATTATATATTCAAGAAAAGACCTTTCATTGTTTTAATGCGCGAATTGATTGGTTTGTTAATCAAGTATGATATCAAGTATGATGTTAATGATAACGCATTTCAAGAGGATCTCCATTGCATTCGAAGTCTACCAAACCGATAATTGATAATAATTTAATGCAAGTTGTGCAGTTCGATAAACAAATTAATAACCTATCTTGGCCTCTTATTATAAGACAACAACATGTGTGTTAATTATAAATACATTTTCGGAGCTGGATATGTAGGTAAATCACATTTTTTTAGTTTATTTGAAAAAGTAGTATCCTTTTGCTTCAGTATACTACAGATTAATTTATTTTTTATCTGAACTAAATGCTTCAACAATTTTTCATGGTCAATACCGATAACAAGTAGCAGCAAAAAAATCAATAAGCTTTGACAAAATAAATGATCAATTCATAGGACGTTGCTTAAAAAGACAACAGAACATCTGTTTATTGTATAACTGTGTCNTTCGGAGCTGGATATGTAGGTAAATCACATTTTTTTAGTTTATTTGAAAAAGTAGTATCCTTTTGCTTCAGTATACTACAGATTAATTTATTTTTTATCTGAACTAAATGCTTCAACAATTTTTCATGGTCAATACCGATAACAAGTAGCAGAGCTTATATAATGCATGTATCCGGCAATATAAAAAATTTTCGTTATAAACAAGCATCCATAACGTAGATAATTTTAAAATGATTATCTTTTTTGGGCAACCTTTTAAATAGTCCTTGTTAAGTTAAGGAAATGCTTCATGGGTAGTACAGACAAAGTGAAAAGAGATAATAGAATAATAGTAAGCGGTGCAGCGGTTAGAGGTTGCTTAGGTACGCAAAAGAACAGGGTCGGCTTTTTAACTGCCTAGTTGGAATTATTTGTTTAAATAAACGCCTTTGCTTTTATAAATTCATGAAAATGTTGAAATTTCTTTAAAGTCCGATGCCGGCAACATCCTCAAATTTTCCTTGTCTGCTTCTCTTTCTGTTACACATTAATCCTTTTTCTTTATTAGTGTCCGCTGCAATTCCTACCTGACATCTCTTTTCTATGCCTACGATATTCCCTACAACGATTGTTGTGAGTAAAAGTAGGCGTTCTGTCAGCAACCCTTTTAGTCTAGTTAGTAAGTCGAGAGAAAAAAGTAAATGCGATACTTTTATTGCAGACTATGCCAATTTTGCACGAGCCAACTATACATTCGTTATTTGCGATATGAATGAAGGTTAGGTCATGGATAAAAAATAAAATGGTATTTGCACGTAGTTGCAGATATAATCGCTTCTCGAGAGACTTACAATTAGTTGCAATTTGTTCGGGTTCATTAATTGTTACAATACATGTACACAAGTACATAATTGTACATATACAATGTATACAAAAATATCTATTTTCGAGGGCGCAAGACTAATAAAAATGCATAACGACCCGTCCGCACTCGTATGCAAAATAGAAGAATGTTTAAATGTAAATGTTTGAAAATGTTTTATTTGTTTACATTCGGTGTAGCTTCAAGCCGGATGTGGCCATTACGATTCAACTAAATGGTGTTTTAGCCTAATTCAAGTCGAAATTAATTTGTTACCAGACAATTTATTAGCGTAATGTTAATTGCTCCTCCTTTTTGCTAAAACAGATTATTCGTTAAACAAAAGCGGCAATTCTAAGTTCTTAACAACTTACGACGAAAAGTAATCAACAATAATTTTTAAAATTTATGAATACGAAAGTCAATCAGTTTTTAAATACTGAATTGAGTTGACTGTTACTTTGTGATAGTATATCGTAATAAAGTAATTATAATTGAAACACTATCTTTTTTTTTATCTTGTGCAAATAAGGGTAATAAGAAACAAACTTAGTGTTTCAATTATAATTATTTCATTAATCTTTTATATCTTCATTTTACTGAAATTGTTTGCGAATAAAACAGATCATGAAATTTTGTACACACATTGTTAGAGGCATAGAAAAGGACATAGGAAAGGTATCTTTCATTCAGAATTAAGAAATAATGTTTCCGAGGGATAGAAAAATTAATTTGGTCGTCAATGATCATTGACACGTATTTAGGGGATCAACGTGAGTGAAGCCGTGTGTAAAACGTAGTATTGTTTTAATAAAATCATTTTTAATGATAATCGAATTCAGCTATCTGCATAATGTAATATATGAAATACATATAATATAATTATGTAATAAGTATAGGTACGGTATTATGAAATTTAATTATTGTTTTCATTTTGTCTGATATATTTATTTTTTTTCAGATTTGCATCACCTTCTAACTTGGATTCAAAAACCACTTTTGACCTACTACGAATGATCAGGTGACCTATCGGTCAAACGATCCAGTCGAAGCAACCAACCGTTCCTTATTAATAAAAAAAAAAGAAAAAGCAGGCAACCGAAAGCTCTGCATTTATTGTGATTATTATTTAAGTTATATAAACAGTGATATTATGTATAATCTAAACGTAAACCTGGCGACTTCGGCCGCAAATGCCGTCAACAATTTATTGGCGGTGGAAAGCGCCTGCTCCACTCCAAGAACCCCTGAGATTCTTAATTCTTTAATAGCCATGACAAATCCGCTGGACAATTACACATTCGACGACGATTCGCAGAAAAACGGTTCTAATGTCTTGTCCATCTCAGCTTCAAATGATTCTAACTCGTCCAGTTCAAGTACCATGGAGTCACCTACGGCAACGCATCCCAGTATCCAACACACTTGTTCCCAACTCATCAAAGCTGGACTCAAACTATCGATCGAACAGAAACGAAAAATCAATGGCGACTCCGATGATCTATTGGATTTAGACAGTTGCAAACGCATCAAAAAATGCGAGTCCGAATCAGAAGACGGCAGAAATCCCAACGGGGTAGGTATTTTATTTTTTTAATCAACATCATCTCAAAACGAAATTTTATTGATAGTTAGTACTGTATTTGATGACAAAAATGACGATTTAACACGATGATGTTTTTATTTACATTCAAAATGAAAGAGCCGAGTAGTTTAAATGATTTTACAATCGCTACTCATTTCTATTTAGTTCATATGCATCAAATATTTGCAGCGAGTGTACTTTGTTTGTGACGTCATAACGCCCAAGCGTAGACTTTTGGCGGTAATTCAACTCTTTCGAACTGCAATGTCTTTTTCTGCACGTTTTTAACAGTAGGCACTTACAGTTTTCTAAAAGCGATCGTTTGTCATGTGTATGTATATTGATAATTCGCGAGCTTTGAAACCTAGGTATCTGTTTTTTATTGATAGTTCCAAGCATTATATTTTTAGAATGTTTATAGTTTCATTCAATAACTATGTCAAGAATATATCATGTTCTATTAATTCGTACAAGACAACTGATGCCACTAGTTGAGAGAAACACAAAAATGCGCTTCCCATCGTGGCGCCTGTGTGTGCTATATTTTTCGTAAACCAAATACAAAAACATTAAAAACTACTGGTACTACTTACTATATTTTCGGCAGTAAAACCTAAAGTAGTTTTAATAAAATCGAAAATATTTCGAGAAAATAAAAAACTTTCCATTTTTAGTAATTTACGTTATTTGTCAAAAATTTTAAGATTACGGTTATTATAGATAAGCTTATCACCTTTGAGTACTTTGCTATGCATTGGATTGCAAACAATTTACCTAACTCTTATCTAATCTAAATGTAATATCAATATCTAAAATATTTCATTTAATATATAAAAACTGCTACCTACTACTACGGTTATTACGTGTTTAATAACATATGATTATCGATAACAGTTGACTAAAATTTTACACGTAAGCATAGGCACTTACACATATTTAGTTTTTTGTTGACAAAATATTTTCGCTAAAATATCAAAATACAATCTATAAACTCTCATGCGATTTTCTTGGAAGAGGTATTCGCTTCGTACGAAAATATAAATAAGTGCCTACATATTCCACAATTAAAATCATGTAAGATTTTATTTTACATGAACTTTTGAAGTAACTAAATTTAGTTGTTGTGCCAAAAAGACATGACAGAATGGATCGGTGAAACTTTGCCAATGGAAGACTACGTAAACAGGATACTTTATTTTACTATACGCATTGTGTTTGATAAATCGATAACTTGTCATCTACAATTAAATGACTAGAATTAATCTGCTAACTTTAATATCTTTTTGTTGTGATTTCAAAAGAAACATATTTCATTGTTAAAAGCAAGACTTACAAGACTTATTTTAAATAAAAGAGGACAAGTGCGCGTTGGCCTCGCATGGAGAGGGTTCCGTACGTTGAATATGTTATCATGTTTTTTATTACCATATTATTATTTACCTTTATTATTATTATTTTTTAAGTTGAATGAGTAGTATTAACAATACCAATAATTTATCCCAAGAACCATTTAACATGTTCTCCCATACATTCAAAATGTAAATTTGAATATTGTTTTGTTGACATATTTGCCACGTTATGTTCAGACCATAAGACTCTTTCTATAAGTGAAGAACTGTTTTCTGCATTTTTTTTCTGTAGTTTCGGAGATAAGGAGGGGAGAATGGTCAATTTTGATCTATTTTCTTAAAGAACTATAAAACTATTTATTTTAAAATTCATCATCAACATTATAAGGTCGTCAGTCCTAAGACTGGTTGGACACGTACCTCCACTCTTTCCTATCCTGAGCTAAACTTCGCATTTCCCTAAAACTAGAACAGCCCACATCCTTAACTATTTGCGAACAGTAATCTAATCTAGGTCTACCTCTACCCCTCCTAACTCCTGTTTCTGCCTCTAATATGTCTCTGACTAGACCTTCATGCCTGAGAAGGTGTCCTACCAACCTATCTCGCCTATTTTTTATTGACTTCCATAGAGTCCTCTGTTCTCCTATTCTTTCCAATACCTCTTCATTTCTAACCTTTTCTACCCACGATATCCTCATCATCCGCCTATAACACCACATTTCGAACGCTTCTAACCTTTTCTTTTCCGCCGCTCCCACTGTCCATGTTTCGCACCCGTACAACGCCGTGCTCCAAACATACACCTTTAACAACCTTTTTCGAATTTCTAAATTAACCGTTCGCGAGCATAGAAGTGACTTCTTTTTATTAAAGGCGACACGACCCTGCGCTATCCTCTGCTTTATATCCCTACTACTCCTTCCATCCTCACTTATCTGACTTCCTAGGTATCTAAAATCAGCCACTTCTTCTAATTTTTCGTCTCCTATCTTTATATTCGCCCTTTCCCTACGTTTTTTTCCCTTGCATATCAGTATTTTAGTTTATTTAATTATAAAAAAATATATTACAAGCCCTTTCATTTGATATGTTGCATGGTACAGTTTGCAAAACTTTTTTTTTATGTCCTATTGAAATTCACAGAAATTCATATGTATACTAAATTTCTTAATCGCTCCAGTAGATTCGAAACAAATTGACTGTGACAGACGGACGGGCAGACACACGAGTGATTCTATATTGGTTCCGTTTTTCATTCGAACGTACGAAACCCTAAAAATAGCAAAAAAAAATCGTCGTATTGTGTCCCAAGTGCGTTCTGTAACGAATTTGCAAATTAACAATATTCATTTGTTCGGTAGTCAAGGACATAGAATGCATACGTTTGGGATTACTTGAAGGTTACGCGCTCGTTGAAAAAAATTTCGTATTCTGTAAGCCCACTTCTATATTCCACAAACAAAACGGGCCCTTTTTAAAATTCAGCTCGTGTCAGGGATCAGTCTTCTTGAACAATTTATTGTACCATCCGTATGTATAATTTTGGAACTTTGCGATCTATGTTTTACTTAGTTTTACCTGTATGTATGTCCTTCACTACATAGTTAAATTCAAATGTTTCTTTATGTATACGCTTTCCCATTTAACAATAAAATTAAAACGCTAATAAGTCACACGGACTATGTTGCTAATTGAAGAAACACGTTAAGTAGCGCTTTTAAGTGTATGAATGTATATATATGCTTAAAAGCATTTGCACAATGTATAGATACATATATTTGTAATGTAGGTACGTGCACAAGGTGTTCTGAAAATGCTGTAGGAAAATTTATACTTTAATCAAACAAAACATTAAAAAATTATTTTCGGTTCGATCTGTATTAACGAATAATTAAAAGATAGAAATTAAAATGATTATAAGTTAAAATAAATGATGGAAATTACAATTTATTGATACGATCGCGTAAGAAAATGGTAACTCATCATCAACGGCGTTAAAGGCCAATTAAAAAATTAATTTCGTATGTTTAATTTAACCCACCTTTACTCTTGATTGAAATTCATTGTTAAATATGTAAATTAAATCAAAACGCTTCTCATTTCCACCCATTTTTTTATTAATATGAGGAATGTTTAGCTGTATTGTGAATTTCATAAACCACATGGCTCTGTAAGGGGGTGTTAATACCTGAGCAACGTAGTTTTTTATATTACATAAAATGAAGATTTTAGTGTTTTTGACGCCACTAATCTTAAGTTAAAAACGTAAATCAACCTTCAGTAGCGTCATAAACAGTTCGCACTACCTCGTTCTCCGGACTTTATAGTTTCATATGGTTTTGAATAAAAAATAAAATTTGTAGGAAAATTTTGGAGGCTCAAGGACAAAACTGTGGAACATATAGCGCTTAATAAGATTTACTAAAAATGTTATTTTCCCTACGCGAAAGAAATAAAACTTGCAGACAATTCTAATATCTACAAAGGATCCAGATTAAATTTTTTGTTAAAAACAGGCTGCTTGAAAATTTAATTTCAAACTTACTGCCTACCCTCCTACTCCCTTACATTATAAAATGGAAATTAATGTCTATCTAAAATGTAAGTTTACTCTTTACTTTTTGCTACTAAGACATTTCTCATTAAGGCGATTTATACGAACACTGGATTCAAACAAAGTATTTAGAATGATTTCTCTCTTGTGATTTCCAAAGCACTTAATTTATTTTATAAAATATTTCACAATAGCTGCATTTGTAACAGTTAAATATTACTTATTATTAAAGCAGGTCGTTACTTATTCAAAAATAGTTGCATGGGTTGCAATTCGGGTGATAGAGCCGCGTTTACCATAAGTGGCATTAGTATAACTTGACACGTCGTTTACTAACACTAATAAATCACTCATATCCTTGTTTCAGTTGACACCAGAGGATGAAGAAAGGCGGCGAAGACGACGTGAACGGAATAAAATTGCCGCCACCAAGTGTCGTTTGAAGAAACGCGAAAGAACCGCAAACCTCATTCGCGAATCGGAAACATTAGAAACCCAAAACATCGAGCTGAAAAGCCAGGTTCAAGAAATGCAAAACCAACAGCGACTTTTGATCGACATGATTTCGAAACATAGATCCGTTTGTACCGAAAACATCCCCACCTCTAACAGGGATCCCCTATGCACCAGACTTCCACCGATGTCGTCTATTTCTACCCCAGTGATTGAATCCAACCATTCCTACTGTCGTCAACCTAACAACGCTAATATGCAAAACATTTTTAAAACTGAAAATTTAGATATCTTTAATGGTGCACTCGATGTAAGTGAAGATATATCTTATCGAAGGAACTCGCTACAGTTTAACAAAGCTCCTAGCATCATTATAGAAGCAGCGGTCGACAGCTATGACCAAACCCAATTGCTAGATCTTGACAATTCCGACCATTGTATATCAAACTACAATTATAATCATCAGCAATGCCACAACTATAGTAGTGATAACTATGGCAGTACAGGCATGGACAGTGGTTGCATGGCTTAAGATACCTTTCGTTGCTTTAGAAAAAAACATTCGTTACCAGATCTGACGTTTTTTATTTTAATTACNTGTACTTTAATCTAATAATAAGTTTAGTGACTTATTTGCTTCACAGTTAATTTAATTAGGTACCTGTTTAGTATTTTCTCTCCAAATGGGAAGTAAAATGTTTTTATCTCTTTGTTGTTCGTCGTTACGAAATTGGTAATGAATGTAGAGGATGTTAATGTAGATTGTTAACGAAGGTTTTGAGTCGACATAATACTTTAACAGCAAGCAACATTTAGTTGCGCCAGTCAATCGTGTGCAATCAAACGAAATTCATTTGCGATTGTCTCTCTGTTCAAAAATTAAACGAAAGATGAAATCTACTGTTGTTTTTGTTTTGACCATTTGCTGTGGTTTAACTTTTGCATCCTTTAGCAGTGATTGTGGTGAGTGTCCAACATATTATTTATATTAGTCAAAAGCTTTTTATAGAAAAATTTAACAATAAAATAAAGAGGTGCACGCGTAATATAAGAATTATCTATATAAAAATAATAATCTACGTTTATATTTTTATATTCAAAAATGGGTATCATTATTGGTAATGAGTTCCATGTGTACAAAAATTAAGTAGTTATTTTTCTATAATGAATGTTTCTTTAGAAACTGCAACCATGGTAGGTTCCAGAGGTTGCGAAGCTACTTGAAAACTATTGGCGACCACAAACTAGTTTTTGGCACTTTTAAAAAAATTATAGGCACAACATGCAATTGTTTTAAAAAAATCTTATTGTTAGCTTCAAATCGCGTTCACATTCGCAACGCCTCTGGAACATATCATTTTTTTATTTATTTTTCAGCTTCTTAAGCAGTTTTATTTTAGGTATAAACTTGCTTTAAGATTTTTAGGAAGCTAAGATCACAGTCATCGCTTAATTATATTTTTGCAATCACGTTTCCTTAACAGTGCCTTATTGTTATAGTTTAGCAATAATTTGGCATTTGTTTGATACCACTCTGATGCCTTTCAATTTGGCGCAATTATTTTTAATTAATATACAATTGCAGCAAGCAGGTGCCATTTTACAATTTTAAAACAGCGTTAAGAAACCACACAAATGGTGCTTGATAACCAAATATATAAATATATGTATTACATTCATATATATTCCATAATTATGCTTTGTTGAAACTTACCAGTGTTAACATTAAGTTGTTTTATATGAATAGATGATTTATTATGTTTTTTTGCGAATTGAATATTATTAGGTAAGTACGCATTTCATTCTTACTCATGCATAAACCGGATTATGTTAAGAGTATGAGGAAGATTGAAAAAGAAGAAAAGCTGAAATTTTTGTCACACGTTAAGGTACACGGATTTATCTACAAAACGGGTTTAATTGTACAGACCATATGTTGTGCCTTAAAATTGTTTTAAGAGTTGAAGTCATTTATATTTTCAAATAAACATTTCAATGGAAACTGGTCACTTTATTCTATACTTTTAGTATTAAATATAAAACATTAATTAGATTATACAAGTATTGAATGTAAAAGAATGTTTTTACAGCAATACACAAATTAATTATATTAATTGTTTGCAATATTGCTGATAAAAGTGATAGAAATACCGATAACAAGTAGCAGAGCTTATATAATGCATGTATCCGGCAATATAAAAAATTTTCGTTATAAACAAGCATCCATAACGTAGATAATTTTAAAATGATTATCTTTTTTGGGCAACCTTTTAAATAGTCCTTGTTAAGTTAAGGAAATACTTCATGGGTAGTACAGACAAAGTGAAAAGAGATAATAGAATAATAGTAAGCGGTGCAGCGGTTAGAGGTTGCTTAGGTACGCAAAAGAACAGGGTCGGCTTTTTAACTGCCTAGTTGGAATTATTTGTTTAAATAAACGCCTTTGCTTTTATAAATTCATGAAAATGTTGAAATTTCTTTAAAGTCCGATNTTTTGCTTTTATAAAACTATACGATATTATTATCCAAACAAAATTTTATCTTTAGAAGCCTTTTAAGTAGTAGTTTGATACTTCTATATCTAAAGTTTAACAACTATAAGTAAGGTAAATAAAAATATGTATTGTTCTTTCTATTTTATTAAAAAAAAAGGTACTACATATCAGTAAGTGCAATATGCTTCACATAAATAAATAATACAAGGGAAATTCGAAAAAATTAGTTGAGTTTTCATAGTTAGGAACCAACAATGATGTTGTTGATAGGTATATGAATTAATTTTACAAAGAAACCAATAAAACCCATGATACAGAAACCAATTGCTGTGGCGATGGCAATTTTCTGAAATTCTGGAAATAATGGTACGAATGTTACTACTGCTGTCTTTAAAATAATATATCTTTACAAACTCTTAATTAAATATTAATTGTAACTGATTCTCTAAAATTGATAACCATATTGTAGTTACAGCTTGCTTATTTTTTCTGAATATCTGTAGATATTTGCATTACAATTTAATAATGCAAATATGCTGTTTTTACACTTTTATTTAAATTGTAATTAGTAAAAAAGCAAATCTCCATTTACATACCCTTTCTGTCTGGTTTTGTGCACCTTTTTACCAGCCTAATTGAATCTTTGGCGAATTGACGTCCTGGTTCAACAAATTTAGTAATTTGGTCCATATTTCTATTAAAAAAATTATTTACAGAATCTAATTATATTAACAGAAACTGTTGCTTACCTTTATTTTAAATTATTTGGAGATTTTTAAACAATATACGCGTTATAAACTGGCAAATGATTTTTAGGTTCGCTGCTTTGAACATTAAACACAACAGACAGAAACAATTCTTATATGATGAGCGCTGAGCAGACAAAGATAGAGAAAGCTACTGTCACTATTCGTGTTGTCAGCTTAGAACGCCACGGTGGAATTTTCACGTGACGTGTCAAGCTGCGTTCAATTCATCACAAATTAGATTAATATCACTTTTATACTTTGATCTGATCTGATATTTTGAAAAAGTTGCCATTTTGTTTTTCACAAATAGTAATTTTCAATTTATTTTTCTTATAATGCCATATTTTACAAAATTATTTTAAATTAAAAGCACATACTGGTCGACAAATGGGAATGAGGTATAAAAATTGTTTATTTTGCAGAAGGTAATTTTGAAGTGAAATCATTTGAGGGATTATTATGAAATGGCAGTTGCTATTATTAGGAATGGTAAATAAGTTAATTAATTTTGTTATTTTGCTTGTATTTTTATTAACATTTGCATTTATTTAATAAAAATTATTTGAAACTTTGTCGGCAAATTGTAGAAGCGAAGAAAATTTTTCAGTAAAATCTCTCGATTTTCGTCTATCTCTTTATGCGTCAAACTGTTTTTCAATTTTTAAAACGTTGGTTAAATACTTTTGCTAAAATTAAAGTTACGATATTAATAAATCTTTATCGATATCCTTCTTTATACTTAAATAAATAAAATCATTCGTTATCTAAGTCAAACACTAAATATTAAAAGAAAATGTAGGGACTTAAATATGTCTATAGACTGTCCTTATCATTTGACTGCCTAATTTTGGACAAGGAACTTTGAACTTTAAACAAGATTTTCTTTTGTTTTCTCATCCGGAAATCTTATTGGATGAACATACTACATGTACTTTAATCTAATAATAAGTTTAGTGACTTATTTGCTTCACAGTTAATTTAATTAGGTACCTGTTTAGTATTTTCTCTCCAAATGGGAAGTAAAATGTTTTTATCTCTTTGTTGTTCGTCGTTACGAAATTGGTAATGAATGTAGAGGATGTTAATGTAGATTGTTAACGAAGGTTTTGAGTCGACATAATACTTTAACAGCAAGCAACATTTAGTTGCGCCAGTCAATCGTGTGCAATCAAACGAAATTCATTTGCGATTGTCTCTCTGTTCAAAAATTAAACGAAAGATGAAATCTACTGTTGTTTTTGTTTTGACCATTTGCTGTGGTTTAACTTTTGCATCCTTTAGCAGTGATTGTGGTGAGTGTCCAACATATTATTTATATTAGTCAAAAGCTTTTTATAGAAAAATTTAACAATAAAATAAAGAGGTGCACGCGTAATATAAGAATTATCTATATAAAAATAATAATCTACGTTTATATTTTTATATTCAAAAATGGGTATCATTATTGGTAATGAGTTCCATGTGTACAAAAATTAAGTAGTTATTTTTCTATTAAATTAATACTTTTAGCCATATATATAATGGCAGACATACTAAAAGTTCGGCGCAAAGTTTAATTCAGTATTTTCCTTATATTACATCTAACTAAAAGTCGGTTAGCATTCCAATATGTTTTTTATTTTCAATTATGTTCAATTATGTAGGTAATTAAATAAAAAATATGTAAAGCAATGTTAATTATTACGGTTGGATGGTTTGAAACTAGTACATTTTGCGTGGAATAACACTGTGGACCTATTGTTTCATTCGCGTTAATAACAATTAACATTATTTCTGTTATTGTTTAATGGTAGTGTCACGCATCAAATTATTCTAAATTAAATTTTGGAACTGCCTCGCGAGTGACGAGCATTAAAATAATAGGAATACCAAACAATACCAGAAATGTGAAAAAAATTATATCGAATCACTTACATTGATGTAAGTATTATGACACCATTAGATTACGTTATCGTTATGTTTCAGGTTCAGAGGTCGGCACAGTTAATTCTGTAACAGTATCAGGATGTTCTGAAGACGATGACAGATGTACTCTTAAGAGAAATACCGATGCAAGTGTAGAAATCAATTTTACTCCAAGTAAGGACTATCTACGACCTAAATTATTATTTTACTTTTTATTAAAAAATATGAAAATAACTCACTCACACTCAATATTTAAAATATAAAATAAAGTTCAATAGATTGAAGGCTTCGCAATTTTATGCTAGTAGAACATATGAAAATACATAAATTATTTATTAATTTTGGTGTCTCAAAATAATTTTTGCGTATATTACGTTTATGAATCTAAAAACTCTTTATTTTCTACATATCAAATTAGCTCATTCCCATCCTTACTTACCATTGCAATACCAATTTTTACTTTCATTATATTCTCTCAATAGATATCAATTCTACCGTTTCATCCCTTATTATTTGACATCAAACTCTTACCATCTCATCTACACATATTCCCATTTTTTCCCACTTGTTGAATTGTTCCTGAATTTAATTTTAATTGCCTTAATGTCTTCTATTTCCTTCTCATACCTATTTTTTGCTCCGATTTCTAAAATCCTCTTCCTTGTCCTCCTCCAAATATCCTTTCTTATATTATCTTCTTTTAAGTTTTTTAATTTGTTTCACACTTTACTACTTTTGCTCTGGTTTCCTCTATCAGTTTCCTACATTTTATCTTCCTCCTTACATTGTAGTCCCATTTTATATACTTTTTTTTAAATCTATTGGTGATAATTAAATTAAAAACGATTTACTGAGAATCATTTCAAAGATAAATAATTTCAGAAAAAGATATCGATGTGGTCAAAGCTGTAGTCCACGGAATTCTTCTTGATATCCCAGTACCATTTCATTTAACAAACGATAATGGATGCGTGAACTCAGGCTTAACATGTCCATTAAAAGCTGGACAAACTTATTTGTACAAAGCAACTCTGCCAGTTTTGAAAAAATATCCCCAAGTAAGTTTAATTCACATATGCAAAACATAAAGGACCTTCGACGATTATGTTAAAGGGAAACTTTTTTTTGTACTTTTTGTTTGCGAAATACCTACACAGTGTTCACTTTTAGGTTACTGTTACCGTAAAATGGGAACTTACTGATCAAGACAAGAAAGATATTACTTGCACTTTCATTGCAGCAAAAATTAGATAAGAAAATTCATCTAAGTAAGAGCAGAGTAAAGAAAAACCGATTTAGATATCAAAAATTTGATCTTACAGGTAATTAACAAATTAAAAAGTACTACACTCAAGCAAGTATCCAAACAAAAACATTTATTCGTAACATGTGTTCTGATGATTGTATCTTTTTAATTTTTAATTTACTAATTTTTGCACTAAATATAGTTGAAAAATTTCATGTAAGAAAAGTAAAAATAAAATTTTGAAATGATACTTATTCATGTTGTTCTCATTGTCAGATTCTTCCGGTTATTACAAAAAAATAGGTATATTAAATTTTTAACACGTTTAGATCTTGAAAATTGTATTGTATTTAAAATTATTGAACGAGTCGAAAATGAATTCGGTGTTTTTGTATCTATACGTTTTGGAAAAACAAATTAAGATATGGTGACATTAATATCTCCATAAATCATGACCTATTTGCTTCTGTGTCATCTGATAATTCTTTTTTTTTTCTTGCTTAGCTATACAACTCAGAAATTATAACTTTTTGTTTACAAAGAACGATTACCGAAATAAATATTACATTTTGTGCCATTAAACGCATTTTTTTGGCATTTTTGTACATTCTCCATAATGGGGATAAGTAATACAAATATACGTGTCATAAATAAAATAATGATATCGAAAATATATCTTACAAATACTGATAATCTTTTATAGAAAACTTATGAGCTAATTTATTTGAAGTTATTTTTAAAAAATGTTAGCAGAAACAAAAACTGAAAATATTCTTTTTTGTATTCAAGCTAACGTTATTTTATGTAGTAATAACACATTTTCTAGTCAATCTATTATATATAAGTGTATAAAAACAATCCAAACGTGGTTTGTTTTTATCTGTTAATTATTTCAAATAGATACTTACACACACTACTGGTGTATATGTTTTTTTGGTACAAATTTTTTAAAACTGAAGCACATGTTTTAGGGATTAATTTGAAAAAAGTTTTAACACAAATGCGCGTTGAGAATGTCTTTCAATTAAAATGTTTTATTGAAATACGATTTTATCAAATTTGGGGTGGACCAAAAATGATCTTTCTATACATGTGATAAAAATACATTAAATTATCAGTACAATAATGGTATAAAAATATAAGAAGTAGGTAGTATAATACATTGTATTTGGAAGGCTTTTAAAAAATACGTGCATTACATATTTTTATTCTCAATAAATTTGTTATATTTTAAAGCAATTCACATTTACTGTTTTTAACAACGTCTCTGCCCAAAGCATATCTCGAATGAAAGGAATGCATTAAACAAACACTTCTCTAGCAAAAACTATTGCCCTTGGTTGACCGAAACCATCTAAATAGACTCTGTTATCGCATAAATCTTTCAAGCATATTAAAACTGCATATTCAGTGTGCCTACGGCTAATCTTCGTGACAGTCGGTTCCTGAACTTGTAAAATATTTATTGTAATTGTGGATTATTCGGTCTTAGTTAGTTTAGGAACAGAAAAAAATATTAAAAAGTGATTTATCGGGACGTCTACTTACTGTAAGTGTTAAGGAGGTGGTGAGTTATTTTTAATTTTAAAGAAAGTGAAAGTTTTATGTGCTAATTTATTTTGCGGACGAATCCGACAAGATGCACCTGAATTTAAATCTTTCTGTACAAGGTAAGAAGTTATTAATTGTATTTCAAATAAAAGGATTTTCACTATAGGTACTAACATAAAAGTACCTATATACATGGGTTTGGAGCATGCGTGTATTTAAAGGGCGCAAGTTAAGCCGATTGGGATTTATTACGATTTATAGCCATTTTTATAAAAAATTGGAGGTCCATTTAACATGCTGCATCTTTTTTAATACGTTAGTTATTGATCATTTTATTAAAGAAACCAGTTCTCATTTGAAATTACATAATTATATATATTGTTTTTAATTTCTATTATACGATACATATAATCGGATAATCAGAAAAAGAAGTTGCTTCAAATGTCGCATTTTGTATGCGAGTGTATTGCTAAATGCTAAATATACGTAACTACACAGGTTTACACAAAAGCAACATTTAGGTATTTTTCATCTTAATTTTGTTAGACTGGAATTCACTTTTAAATATTTCATATTATCAGAGATGTGATTCAAAATGCAAATATGAAATAAAAAATATCTTACATTTAAATACTTTTTTGAGAAAAGCATTTTGTATTTTATTTCAAATTCTTTTTCAAACATATTTTAGTATTAGTATTAGTAAAATGCAAAATGCATAGTATCACCGATAGAAAATTAATCAGTAATAAAGTATTCAGTTGAAAAGAAGTATTTTGAAAATACGTATTTTGCATTTACCATTTAAAATACAACAGGGAAATCTTTTATGTATTTTACATTTGAATTAACAAATCAAAAAAGTATTCGCATTTTGCATTTAAGTACTTTTAAAAAAC